ATGTTATATACCTTTATTCTTCGTATCTTTGTCGCAGATCCGAACGAACGAGGCGGAGTGTAAAACGAGATATAAAACGAGACGCGCGTTGGCGTTAATCCAACGGTATTATTAACCAGAAAATCTTATTAACGGATAATTATTTAACAGCGTGGCCGGCGAATGATCTCCGCCAATTTCGTGCCGTATCCCTTTCGCAGCAGCCACATCCGCCTCGGTTATTATACACGGCATCAAAGCCAAGAGTGTGTATATTCCAAAGTGCATATTCCATATATGCAACAGGATTCGAATAGGCGCGGCGCGAATGCAAGTGGAAATCCGGAGAAACGTAGTTAGAGATAAATAGGGAGATGAAGACGGGGAGGAAGGGGGAGGGTTACACGGTGACGGAAGAGAGAGAGAGAGAGAGAGAGAGAGAGAGACGGTGACAGTCGGCGGCTTAGATACGGCTGAATTGGCTAGTAGCGTCAGTCTTTTGATCTAAACTAAAATACCAGGCCGAAACAACGGCCAAAGCAAATCTGTTCAAAGTGCTTGTCCTCTTCAAAGTACTTGGCTGCGTCTATCTCGCTCCGACCCGCGCCGCGGCATACCCCAATGACCAATTATCTTTGTATCTTTGCCGATGACAAGTGAACCGCGAGTAAACTGTCACAACCCGGGGGGGAAAGGGTTTGGTACGTGTCGGTTTATCGGCAAGGGTTGCCCGACTCCTCTTTTCGTCTCTCACTTTTCTTCTTCTCTTCCTCCCCGCGCCCGCCCAGCGGAGGAGGGCCTCCCCCCTCCTCTCTCTCTCCCTCTCCTCCACTTTCCTACCTGCCTCCTGCACTTTTTGTATTCCTAATTTTCCAACGTTGGCCGCGGCCCTCCTCCTCCCCCGATCACGGTGATCGATATCCGTGTCGTCGTTATCGTAGTTTACCTTGTTTTTCAACATTGGACCGGACCCGAAATGGGGGAGGACAAATGACCGTTAATTTCGAGAAATTGGATTAAAACTTTGGCAAAGTTTAACCGGTAACTTGTGCCGGTCGCTTTATTGAAAACGAAGCATGATTCGATGACGGAACACGCGCGTGGAAGTTTAATTAAAATTCGTGCATCGAGGCAAGTTATGCATCGTTCCGCTTATTATAAGCCACCGGTTAAATGGGCGAGGGTTCGATCGGCGAGTATCGCATAATCGGATACCGCCGAACGGGGAGGCATCGCGCGATCGATCCCACTCTCGCGGAACGAAGAACAGCCACCACGCAACAGGAACGTTGGATATCGGTGAATATTTAAAATGCGTTTCCACCCCCACCACTCGCAGACAATCACTCTTCGAAACAATAGCCATCTAATGCGAAATAGGATGCCTCTTGCGTTTCCGCGGACTGGCTTCGTTCCATCCTTCGCTGCCTGCTTCGATGCTTCTCGAATCTGGCACGGTTTTAAACGGTTTCTACGCCTCTAACGCCTCTCGTTAGACGAGATTCCACCAACCATTTCCGCCCTCCACTTTCCCGATTCATCGCTCGATCCCCCAAAACTTTCCTTCGAATTTATATCCTAGAGAGGAGAAATACATATATACATATATATATATACATAAAAGGCTACGACGACAAAAGGAAAACTTATTTCACCCCCCCATACATCATCGATATCTTCGTTTCACCTTTCCATCATTCACCAAGGACGACGGTCACAGGGTCGCTCCCGCGATCTCCTCTTCCTCTTTTTTCCCCTGCAAAAAGTTCTTTCTCCGCGCGCACCCACACACGCACGCACGTCGGCGCGGCGGACATAAATCTTCCTCGGTTCGCCGGATTATTAATTCGTGGACGCGGATAGGTGTATCGTCGCGCATGCCACGTGAAATGAACACGTCGGGCTAACGAGAGGAGATAGAACGAAGGAGAGGAGAGAGTGTTTCGCGTCCAGCACACGTACGTGAACCACTTATTCCTGCCTTTCATTTAACGCACCGCGATCCGCTATCTAATCTCACGCGAGTAATCCCTCCACACTTGGGGGCTTGACCTTGCTTCACCCCTCCCCCCTCCGCCCCCCGAGTCGAATCAGATTCGTTCATTCGTGTTCATTCGAATTCGCCTAGGAGGTTCGAGTTTTCTCGGAGGCGAGAAAGGATGCTTGCCGTTAGCAAGATTAATCGAGAACGTTCTTTTTTCTGAAATTTTGGGCGACGTCACAGTGGATAATCGGACGCGATTTCTTCCTTACCTTGGCCACTCTTTGATTAACCCTGTTAGGAGTCGGAACAGGATGGGTAGCGTTGGATTAGGTTTAATAATGGAAAGCTTAAGCTTCGCCTCCACGACGCTTCGATATTAGTCGGGCGGAAGTAAGAGTGAGTGGAATCGCTGCACTTTCCACGGAGGGGGGGGGGGAGGGAGAGGGATTCTTTCACGGGGAAGGAGGAGATAATCTTAGAAAACGATCCTCTTTCCAGCTTTAATTACTTCTCGCGTGGGAAATATTTGATATAAATTTACAAGGATCGCGTGATCCATGGCCTCGATCCATCATAAGTACGCTCCCGTCATAAGTCATCGGACACTTGATGGTGCGCTCCCAGGATGAATGAACTTTATCGTTTCGAGATTAATATTAACCGTTTCTATATAATAATAATAATAATAATAATAATAATAATAATAATAATAATAAGAAGAAGAAAATGAAATTTGTATACGTTAACTCTTCGATTCTCTGTAAAAGTAGCGTGGAGATCGTTCCATTAGTTTAAAAAAAAAAAAAAAACAAAAAAAAACAAAGGTTCATTCGAATTCCGTGAAAGATCGAGAGGTCGCTGTTTCCATCCGCAACGACGTCACGTTAATTTAGCAGGACGTTACATTAATTCCAAATTGGTTTCGTGGAGATAGGAAGCACGATGCAGGATCCAAGGAACGAAGGATCACCGATCCGCAGACTACCCAGCTTAGTTCCATCGTAATTACAGGAGCAGGACGAGGCTTAGCCGATCTTTATTTATACACGCGTCACGCTGCGATGCGCGTCACACGGTCAACACTTACACACACTTTCCACTTCTAAACGCGGCGTTTAACGTGCAACCGTGATCCCCGATTGATCGATCAATCGCCCGAAACGGGTGGAATTACATCGAATGCATACACGTTCCGAAGCTTATTCCAAACCGATCTCTATCCGATGAACTTTCTCCACGGAGTTCGCATTTATTATAAAGCCTCTCTCTCTCTCTC